CGGCCAGAGGGCCCCCTACGATTCTTGGATAGGTAGGAGGAAATCTGTGTGTATTTGTTCAAAAATCTAGAAAGCAAAGTGTCACTGTTAAAGAAATGTAAGAGATGGATTGAGGGTTGTAATCTTCTCTTATGATGCTTTTGTAACTCAAGTCTTTGTGTTGAGTTTGTGATGTAACCCAAATGTTCAATGGTGAATGAAGCCTTTTTATTGACCAAAAATAAAATAAAATATATGAAAAAGCTCTCATGCTGGATATAGTTTGGGCACATCAACATTCAATATATACTAACTCAAATTTTAGTTAGCATCTAATCTTCTAAAGTTTCATCCATTTTCATATCAAAATTAAATTTTTCTGTGTATGACTTTCTGGTCAATTGTATCTAGAATGATTTACTATGTTCTCATACAATTTTATTAAATATTTTTAAATAACCATTCATTTTCATATCAATTTCTAGATTAATCAAGTTCCAACCATAGTGACACAATGTTACTCTTAAAGTTTCATAATGCTTAAATAATTTTTAGAGACAATGGTTCCGCTTTGTTTTTGGCAAATATAGTTTATTTAGGTTATGGCCTCCGTTTCATAAATAGTGATAGGATTGGTGCTTTTAGTAATAAAAAATAGATGTGAAATTAGTTGCATATTAATAATTTATGCACATGAGAACTTATTTAGTGGATGACTGTTTAAAACTACATGTAATGTGCAGTTAGCATGTGTTCTATGTGAATAATGTATTTAATAAATAATTGTAAAATTAGTGAATGAAAAATATTACTTGCCTCAAATATTTTAACTCTTGTAGTTTCTTAACATGCATCACGTGCGCGCTGCATGTATTGCATACTAGTTAATAGAAAAAGTTATAAAATATTCCTTCATTCAATAAAAACAATCAAACATTTATAATTAGAAAAAGTTCTTGAAAATTGATAGATTCTCGAAGTTAAAAAACGCACTTGGAAATTTATGGATCTTAACTTCTTTCCAGGTTAACGTTCCTAAACCCTTGTCTCACCAACATTTATCTAGCTCAATAAGAATAGACAAATTCCCAATTGCGCTAGAACTTGATTTTCAAAAGTTTCTCTTAAAAAAAGAGAAATCTAAAGTCATTCATACAAAACTTCGACGCCCAAACGTCCGGAAGTCTTGTACCCAAAAAAAAAAAATTCTCAAAATTTGAATTCACTCAAAAGTAAAAACAGAGTTTGTTGTTCACGATGGTATACTATTATGAACATCTGCAAGTTACTCCTCTTTCGGTAGTTCTATACCCAAAACTTTTCACAAATAAATAAACTCAACCACTATTACAAAGATAATAATCAACCTAAAAAGGAAAAATAATTTTTTTCACTTCTAATTTTACATAAGAAGGGAAGTTAATTCATCAGCTGCATCATTCACTTTTAGAGAAGTCCCGGCCTCGACTGAAATGGGAAATTGGGCACCACTATAGCCGCGCTCTCCTTCTCCTTCTCCTTCTCCTTCTCCTTCTCCTTCTCTGTATTTGCTTTGTGATCAACATTCACCCCTTCAACTCTTGCTGTTGTTTTTTGCGTCTCGAAGCAGCAAAAGCTCATCACGCCCATCTTTGCTCTTTGCTTGATATTTGCTCCTTTGTCTTGTAGGTATAAGCTATTTCTAGTATGAAGCATGAACTATGTGCTGGTAGCCTTCATATAGGGTGAAAAAAAAAGAGGGCAATTGAAGACCACGAGGTGATTGACCAATGTTTGCTTGGTGATCAAGGAACATAGGAGAGTGGAAAGTTCCTGAAAGTTGTAGATAAGTCTAGACTTGTTTTAAGGGGGCTGTTTGGTTCCCTGTTTTTGAGGAAAATGCTCTTTTATAAGCCTGTCAAAAGTATCAAAAATATTATTTTTTGACAGACTTTCAGCCAAATTTTTTTTTAAAGGCGATTTTAAATGAAAACATGCCAAAAAGTGACACTTTTGACAGGCTTTTAAGAGATTCTTTCTTTTAAAAACAGGGAACCAAACAGCCCCTAAAGCTACAATTGCCTGGTTACCAGCGCTGGTCAGATTGGTTGCGTGGGTGCTGGGGCGCGGTGGGGTCGGGGTGGGTGGGGGGGGGGGATAGAAACCACTGATTTGGTTTTTCCTCCTCTTTTTCTTTCAGCTGAGTTGGCGGCAGTATCCTCTAACATATATTTTTTTCGATCATTTATTCGTGGTCTCTGTTTGATAACATCATCATGCTCATAGCGTTGTTTTCAGAATCAAATTATTCAATTATCCCTTCCTTTTATATGAAGACTTGGTAGCTTTGAGGAAAAGCAATTAAGGCGCTAAATGAGGAAGGTTCTCTGATGACAGTGATCTCATCTGTGTAAGAACACAAAACACGCCCTGAACTTTAGGGGTTATTGCACAAACCCTCCTAAATTTTGTTTGTCTCACGTAACCCTCCTGAAGTTCATCTTATTTCACATAACTCCCCTACATATAATTTAAGGGGAAAAAATCTTAAAATTTATCACTTGTCATTTACATGCAACACACTCCCTCCCTAAACTTTTGTGTTTTTTCTCTCAAGAAAATTTTAGTTATTTGCAAATTACAGGTAGATGAGTTAGGTGAGATAAAGTAAATTTTAGGGGGATTTTGTGAGACACCATATAGTTCTAGGAGGTTAAGTGAGATAAACGATATTTAGAGGGGTTATGTGCAAGACCCCCTATTCAGAGGGGTTTTATGAAATTAACCCAAAACCATCCATTACTTCTATTGGAAATTACGGGGCTACGCTAAACCCCTAAAACAGCAAGAAAATGCAGTAGAGAAAAGTACACTAAGATATAACGAGATTCGACAAACTTGCCTACGTCCTCGGGAGCTACACAGAAAATTTATTTATTACTTAAAGAAAAATTTACAACTTGCAAAGAGCAGATTTCAAACTCTGAGATCTCTCAATCAAAAGTCAAAAACTCGTTATTACAGATTCGCTTCAGTAACTCGTCGAATTTTTCAGCTGAAAAATCTCCGCTCAGAACTCCCCTCGGAATCATCCTCTGAGTGCTGGAGAAAATCGTGAGAAGAGAGGTTGGAGAAGAACTCAGCCGCCACTGTGTTTCTGGAGAAGATAGCACTGAAAATCTCGGTTATCTTGTGCTCTGGGTTCCCTTAAATAGGGCAACCCTAGGTTGAAAATGACAAGCTGACGACAACCTCGACAGGATGGCAATAGGCTGTTGCCAGCCATGTGTGCGCTCGACCTCGCTTGCAGGGCCGCACTCGACCTCGCCTGAAGACGAGCACTCGAGCTCGCTTGACTGGATCCCCGAGCTCGCCTGCGCCTCACCTCGCCTGACTGAATCTGACTTTCTCTAAATCGTTTCAGGCTCTAATATCAGTTGTTAGGAATTACGAGACTACGCTAAACCCCTAAAACAGCAAGAAAACGCAGTAGAGAAAAGTACATCAAGATATAACGAGGTTCGGCAAACTTGCAAACGTCCTCGGGAGCCACACAAAAAATTTATTTATTACTTAAAGAAAAAGTTACAACTTGCAAAGAGCAGATCTCAAACTCTTTGAGATCACTCAATCAAAAGTCAAAAACTCGTTACTGCAGATTCGTTACAGTAACTCGTCGAATTTTTCAGCTGAAAAATCGCCACTCAGAACTCCCCTCAGAATCACCCTCTGAGTGCTGGAGAAAATCACGAGAAGAGAGGTTGGAGAAGAACTCAGCAGGGAAACCCTATGTCGAGCTCGCCTGCAGGGCCGCACTCGACCTCGCCTATAGACGAGCGCTCGAGCTCGCCTGTAGGGACGCACTCGACCTTGCCTAAAGACGAGCGCTCGAACTCGCCTGACTGGATCCCCGAGTTCGCCTGCGCCTCACCAGCTCGCCTGCGAAGCTGCGTCACGTTGAGCTCGCCTGACTAGACCACGAGCTCGCCTGACTAGAGTCGACCTCGCCTGAAGTCATGACCTTGCCTGACGCCACGATGCCTGCAGATCTTGTCGTCAACCTCGCCTGAAGGTCTCGAGCTCGCCTACAGCTACGTCGACTTCGAGCTCGCCTGCGGAGGTTTGGATCCACACCCAGATCCAACAACTTCTTCCTTGTGAAGCGTCAAATTGTATACTTTTAATACAACACTTTCCGATTTGATAATTTTACCTTCTTGGCAACATAAGCGTTTAAAAGGATCCACAAGAAGGTTTGCATGATATCAGTTTGGTTATATAACACAGTCTAAAATGCTGGAGTGCAAAATTATAATTTCAATCATAATTATAATTTTAGGATTTTAACGTAATGAAATATAAAATTATAATTCTCATTGCTCGCTATAATTTTGCATTTTGATTCGACCAAAATAATTTCTAATGAGAAATTAGTTCAAAATCACATTGAACAATAAATTTTAAAATATAAATTATAATTCTCACTGTAGGGCAAAAAAAATGAAAGTCATGAAAGCAACGAACATTACTCGCTCACTAAAGTTATCCGACCCTCTCTGGCTCTCTGTATGGACCAAAATATTGGAATATTTGCTGTCATCCGCTTGGATGGTAACAGTCTTAGAAATGAGTGCTTTGTCCTTGCTGTAAATCTCAAAGGGAGATAAAATCTGTATGAGCTATTTCAATTTTTTTTTTAGTCATGTCTCTTGAATTTTATAAATGAACAAATATTGAAATTTATAAAAGGTTTGTGGTTAGTTTCACAAAACACCTAACTTTTAAGGTTTTGCACATAAATACATAGCCCTCCTAAACTATGAGATATACATATACAAACTTTACTCAACTAACCCCGCTACCAATAACTGCAAATAACTAATCAAATCAGTGTGAAACTTTGGGTTAACAAAAAAAAAAACATATTTCTAAAAGATATCAAGATTAAATTGACCTTCTACACCCAGACCCTTATTGCATACTGCAGTGAGACTTACTGGGTTTAACTTCATCCAACTCTACTTATCAAACACAATCAGATCTCGAGTCACTGTGATGATCGAAATTAAATAAAAAAAACATGAATACAATCTGAATAACAAAATTTACATGAAAATTTTCATCGATAAACAATCAGAAGGAAATTGAAAATTAAGCATCAGAGCAGTCCTGGCCTTGTATGGAACTGGAAATAAGGAGCAAGCTTAACAGCCTCATCAAGATTGCTCTTCTTCTTCTTCTTCTTCTTCTCCTCCTCATTTTCTTTCTCTTTCTTCTTCAAATCCTCTTTCTCTTTCTTCTTCTCCTTTTTCGCTGAATTCGATTTCGAGACTGATTCTTCTGCTTCTGATGGCTTCAGAGGAGAAACCTTAAGAAGACAAGGGCAGCAAAAAGCCATCTCTGGTTCTTCTCAACTAATTCAAGCTGATTTCTTGTTTATGTTACTAAATAGATTCTTGCGCGAGCCCTTTATACTAGATGGCTTACTTGTTGAGACATGTTTTTTCATGGAAACTACAATTACACCATTAGTACTTAATTGATAATTAGGTCAGATTTGATAGGTATACTAGCCTACTAATTAAGGTTTAGAGGATTGAACATGTTTTTAATATATGTAGAGGTTATGTAAACCACAGTTAGCAACGCCCTCTAAGTCCAACTTAGCGCTCTACTAAATTACCTTATTATACTACGAACTTGAATTGTTGATATGTGTTTCACTTTAAGCATAAAAAACAGAAACATTTACTAAGAAATAGTATTGGTTTTGTTGATGGCGATGATCAAACAGTCAATAGTATTCAGAAGATGATATGTTCGGTTCAGTGTTGATGAAGGGTTACTTTCTTCCCTAACTTTATGTTTGGTTCTTGAGTTTGGATGTCAATCAATCTGCACGTGTAGAAACTCGTAAGAGGGTGGGGATTAGCTCCCCCCGTTGTACCTCCAACGATCAAGTTAGTTGATATGAACTTGAGTAGGAAAAGTTAGTACAGTGTGTTCTTGTGTGCAGAAAAATACTCTAGGGTTCCCTCTCTGTCTTTTTCCAAAAACCCCCCCTCTAAGTTTGAATGATACATGTATTTATATCCGAAGCATGAAGGGTTAATTGGTCACTTCGGCCTAGCACAGTGAGACGGTGGCGAAGTGCGGGTTGGCAGCTGAATCGTCTTTTGCTTTGTAGGTGTCGGATGGCAACGGGAGGGTAGATCACTTTGGCATTAAATTGGAAGTGGTCAGTGGCGGGATAGTGTCCCACGTGATCCGATGAGTCATGAAGACTATCGGGGCTAGAGAAATAATGCACCTGCTATGCATTAAATGCGATGCGGACATGTAGCCATTGATGGTAGCTTCGTCGAGAAGTAAAACTGTTTCAAGGCGGTTGCAAGAAGTGTTCTGGACGAGTAGTCGAGTAGACTCTTGGTGAGCCGTCTAGGGTGAGAAGACCGACTAACACCGCCTTTCGTGTTGGCATAGAAGAATGTCGACTAAACGAATCGATTGAGTCGGACTATAGGGGATTCGGGCCATCTCTTTGAGCGGGGAAGACGTATAATAATACATCCATTTGTTTACTAATACGTCGTATGTCCAAGAGTAGGAATACTAGAACATGTTTAATGAATAGAAGTTCTATCAGAATATTCGCATGAATTAGAGAGATCTATGCCATTTCCAGATGGTAATGAATTAGTTTGGAAAGTTCGGTTTTTCTTTTTAGGGGCTATTTGGTTCGTTTTTTAACTCGGTGGAAAAGTTTCACACCGCCTCCACATCAGATTTTTCGTGGCCACGTATGATATAAGTTTTCCGTCGGTTTTTTTTCTCATCTTTGGTTCGCTAGGGTTGAAGAAGAGAAACTTGGTAAAAATCACAGCCACATCAGATTTTTTTTCTCTCCCCTAATTCCTTCCTCAATCTCGTGAAATCGATGAAAACTACAGCCACGTCGGCTTTTTGCCATATAAACAAAAGTTTTCCTTTTTTTCCATGCGAACCAAACACAAGAAAAATAAATACATTAGTTTCCCATCATTTTTTTTTTGCAAACCAAAGCGGAACAATCTATTTCTTGAAAAAGTTTAAAAAACTTAAAACTTGTGTTTTTGTATATAGAAATACATTTTCCTATATCTAGGAAACGAACCAAACAGCCCCTTATTATTAAAACCACTGCACTTGTATAAGAATGGTTTTGATAAGGATTCTCCTGGTTTTATATTAGAATGGTTTTGATAGGATTCTTCTGATTTGATATTAACTATTGACAAATCGAATTACAGGAGCTCAGCTTCATTCCAAATAACTAGTATGAGAAGTGAGGAATAACAAAAGGGTATGATTGTTATTATCAGCTGAAGAAGTGGGCTTTTTGTTGGTTTATCTCAGGTGTATTGGAGAAGATAACGAGAGAAACTTGGGAGGCAAGCTTCAAAAAGGAGCATGTGGGTCAAAGGGCGAATAGTAATAAACTCTCCTTAACGAATTGACTGGTCAAATAAGGCTGACAGCTTAGCATTAGATGCCAGGTTCTTGTGTCGGGTGCAGCTAACCCTGTCAATTTTTCACGCCAATCAAAGAATATCAAGTTGAATTTGGGCTTGGATCGGCCACGTATTCTTTAACATCTGTGTACATTTCTTGGGGATGTGAAAGCTGTTGGGATCTAATACCAATTGTTGTTAAAAACCGTGTCAAGGAACCAAACCAAACGATAATCAAAGAGGGCCAAAACCAACCAAAATCAATGCACAAACAAAACACCAATTTTAACGTGGTTCGGCAATTATCTACGTCCACGGGGCAAGAAGGGGATGAGGTTTCCATTAATAGAGAAGAAGAGTACAACTTGATATTACAAATCACTCGAAGGAACAAACTAATCTCACCAACAAAACTTGAGATTACAAATCACTCGAAGGAACAAACTAATCTCACCAACAAAGCTCTTAATCTCTCCAAATAAACCATAATCAAATAGCTCAGAAAATACCTCTTCTAATCTCACCAACAAAGCTCTTAATCTCTCCAAATAAACCATAATCAAATAGCTCAGAAAATACCTCTTTTCTGTGCTCCAAATATCCCAAACTCTTGCCTTAAGAAACTCTAGAACTTGTATTGGTGTTTATACAAACACCAAAACCAAATAAGAACAGAAAAACAATTTTGGGCCTGACCCGTTACGCGGTCGACCACCACGGTCGACCGCGACCAACGACAGAGCCTAAAATCACTTACAGGGTCTGGCGGTCGACCGCGACGGTCGACCGCGACAAACGACAGAGCCCAAAAATGTCCTACAGGGTCTCGCGGTCGACCACGGCCTCCCTGTTTGGGTCAAAAATCGCTGTTTTCATTGTGATTGAATCTATTACAACTTTAATCGTTTACAATAAACTCAAATAAAAAGTTGGTCTTTTTATAAGACATCCTTATACAATGAAAATACAAAAGATACGACTATTGTCAAACAGCGCAACGAACGTTTATCACCCGCTGCTTGCGTGGGAACTTTGCTTGTGCCGGGGACGTTAATATCCGTGGACCGCTCTTACTTCACGAAGGAAGTAATCGCTGCAGCGATGATCTCGACCAAGCGAGATCACGGCTCTTCTCGAGATTTAAGACCAAGCTTAAATCCGGAGGAATAGGGGACGGGTCTCAGATCTCCCGGACTCCACTCTTTATGCACAGTAATTTGCCAAGATCTGCTAACCTTCGCTGTAAATTCGTGGCTCCACTCTCCACTTCAGCAGCGTTTCGCCCTCTTGATTTCTTGCCCCTAAGAAATGAGTACCCGAGCTCGTATTTATAGGCTCCAGTTGATGGGTTTTGGGATCAAAACGAGTGATTCCTCCTTATCTTCAGTTAATAACTGAATAACCACAATATCAGATCAGTTGGGACGCTCAGGAACAAACAAATCCCAAGAAAAACCGTCAAAACCGAAATAGGATCAAATCTGACCGATGCGTCACCCGGTGGCTCGGCCTGGCCGAGCCACCAATTGGTGGCTCCGGCCGTTCGGCCGAGTCGTTTCGATGTGACTCGGCCGCCAGCGGTTTTTATTGGTTTTCCGGGTTTTGACTTGTTCCGTCGTTACGCGTATTTCGTCGTTTCGTTGACTTGTACGTCGTTTTGGTGGCCGATGAGCGTGCGGGCCACTTAATGGTGGTCGGTGAGCACGCGGGATACTTGGAGCTGGCTGACAAGTGCACGGACCACTTGGAAGTGGTCGGTGAGTGCACGGGCCAGTCGGTTCGCCGATTTGGTGGCCGATGAGCGTGCGGGCCACATCATCAACAGTTCGTTGATTCGCTTGTCGGTGTTAGATAATTCTCTTTGACTTAGATAAACGGCGTTCATCACATTCTCTCCGTCTCGAGCTGTGTGTGGATACCTATAGATATTTTTAGACGCCTACACTCCCAGAGTCTGTGCACGTTTGCGATCGACCGGCCTTGCGCCGCGGTCGACCGCGCAGCTCCCAAACTGACTCATGCGGATCCCAACACCTGTTCTTCATCGAAAATTCTCACGGTTTCTTCAAAAGCAACGTTGATGAAGTAACAATCATACCCTTTGTATTATTCCTTACCTTTCTATTAAGCCCGAGCTCCATTTGGATAGGCTTTCTTTGGCGACTGTAAAACGAAACTGGGGCGGGTGTGGTTTTTGTTAACAAGGTGAAGTTGATTCCAGGAGGGTTATCTAAAAGAAAACTAATTTGGAGCCAGAATTTGAAATAAAAACATTCATTCAATTCTAATCTCGTTTTTGCCAAACCAAGGTATACTAGACTATTTTTGTGAAGTTTGCCAAACACAGTCTTAGATGAGGAGCATCCATGATATTTCAATAATTCTTTATCATTATATTTAAAAAAAAAATGTCAGTTTGGTCGTCCTATCTATTAGGATATTCTTACGGTCCAAGGGCAGCAGTTTTTGGACCCAAACTCGATACTTGATGCTCCTAAATCAGTGTCTTTGATTGATGTAGCCAGATATCCTCAACATCTGTAGTTATAAAGAAACTTGACAACTAGTTTAACCTAAATAAGTTATACAAAAAATCTCTTAATTGTGAGGTCGAATGAACCAGTACTATTTCTCCACTTAACTAACGGTAGGAAATTAATTCAATGATGTAGAGAATTTACAGCGCACTTCCTATCGGAACCCCGCACCATGCACAGTTCTGATAGCCACATAGGCACATAGTAAGGAGCCCATTTACGAAAGTGTCCTTGGACTTCCGTAAATGAGCGGCTCGCTCCGCACCGTGAAGAGCATGATGACAGTAAAAAAACTCCAATCAGAGGATGACAGTTGTCTTTACTACCGGCCCTGTATTAACAAACATGGAAGGAGATATCATTTTCCTCCACGAAAGGCCTCCTGAACTTTTTGAGGCACTCATTCTACGCGCTCGGATTCGTGAAATCAAGTTTTCCAATTGAGATTTACTGGTCACGAGCAGGTTCATACAGCGAAGTTCCAGGTACATTTAACAGCCACATCTGGGCCTGCCTCTAATGACAAACACAACAAACAAATAACTCGAAAAAAAAAAAGAGAGAGATCAATAGGAAATATACATGTAGATGTTAGTATTTGTTTGTAAAAACAAGATAGTCCCACATTGGAATTTTGAACATTCTTTTAGAGGTTTAAAAGCATTGAATGCTTATTGGTCTTTAAATAATGGATCAAAGTGTAGGCTTCTAAACCTGACCCTTTGCTCTAAGGGGTGTTTCGAAAAGTTGTGACTGTTGAAAGCACCTTTTCAAAACCTATAAATAGTTTATGTTTTCAGACATCTATTTACAATTCTTTTCTCAATCTTTTCTATCAAAAACTTCTGTAATATTACAAACTTGTTTCATAATGAATTAAGGAAAATTCCAGATTTGCTTACTGGAATTTTCATTTTCTGTTGTATCCTGAGAAAAAATTTTGTATTAACCCGAAGCAACTTTAAATATCAAGTAAGGGCAAATATTTCTTTAAGGAAAGTGTTTCACGCTTCAGAAATTTCTGTCTCCTTCAATTTTAAAACTAACAAGTAGAGAGACCAATAGGAAATATACAGGTAGAGAGTAATGCATACGCCTTGCAAACCTCATTCATGCATATATGTAAAAGCAAAAGAACTAAGTTACAAGTTCAACACGGCTTTGATAAATACACAAACAAACAAATAACCCACTCTTCTGAAAAAACCAAAAATTACACTAAACTCTCAGTAAACCCCTCAAATGCCCCCATTTATTTAGATATAATAGAACATCAGGCATTTACGTTCCCACGTAAAACAGAGATCTCTCTTTTAAATTAACCCTCCATTCTGATGATGCAACGGAGACTGACACCTTGAAGCATGTAATCAAAAGCTTTGTTGATCTCAGAGAAAGGCACCTCATGGGTGATGAACTTTTCTATCTCTAGTTCCTGCATCAGTTGAATCAATATGACAATTAGAACCATGCTTTATAGTCGAATATCTTAAAGCCCTTTCTACTTCATCAAAACTCCTATCATTGTCGATAAGATTTAAACTAGAATTGATGTGATACAATCTTAAAAGGTTCTTCTACATTAGATACAAACTCATGTGCTATGCGGACATAGCCACGTCTCATAGATTTTTTTTAATTAGCATTTATACCCAATATGTTTCAGAAGGTGTAACGATGAATATTGTCACATTATTCCCGAATGACTTATGCACCTAACAGGAGAAATAATGTCATCTGAGAATAGCGTGGTGTGAATGCTAATAAAATAATTTAGAGGGTGATTATCTGTTACTAAACCCTTACAATCTTGTACTGCTGAGAATATTGCTCTATGAATATTGCTCTATGCGGATAGAGAATACAGTAACTGACATACCTTCTTCATGTACATCTCCACAACCGAAGGGAGATCACTGCGAGGTTTGTAGTTTCCAAAGAAAGTACCCTTCAGAGTCCTCTCATTGAGGACATTCATGGGGTTCGTTTTGAACACAGCATCTTTGTGAGGCACGCCAACAAGCACCGCAACACCCCAACCCTAAACATTTTAAAGAAATTCATTAGACTTCTCGAACTCTAGGAAATTTTCCTATGAATAAAATTAGGTTGGTAATAGATATCATAGTAAAATTACATCATGAACGCATTCAAAGGCAGATATCATGGCATCGACATTTCCAGTGCATTCTACACTCCGATCAACTCCCCCGTTAGTCATCTCAGCAAGAACCTAAAAGAAAACCCAGATCATTCAAACTTACCACCAAACTCTTGCATTATGGTTTGAGAAATTTCATAAAATATACCGAAGTACCTGTTGTACTGGCTTGTCATGGTCTTTTGGATTCACAAACTCGTTGACACCAAACTTCTTTGCTGTAACAGAAATAATGGAACTGTTAATACCATAACTTAAATACTTAATAAGTTTTGTAAATAGATTCATTCTTGGTGGAACTGGAACAATAAGAAGCCACTTCACCTTCATTAAACCTTGAAGGATTCAAATCAACACCAATGATCCTAGAAGCCCCTGCAATTCTAGCCCCTTCTGCCGCCTGATTAAATGAATATAAAATTAAACTGGTCATACACAAATGAAACCTAAATATGCACATAATTGAGCAAAATAAGACTCATAGTAATTCGGAGTAAGAGAGACTCACAGCAAGACCTACAGCCCCCAATCCAAAAATGGCCACTGTCGACCCCTTTGGTGGCTTTGCTACATTCAGAGTAGCTCCGAGACCTTAAAAATCCACGCAAAATTTGTTAGCATACTAATTTGTAAGTAGGTTAATTGCAGAGGGTGTAAATCCCCTGAGTACAAGGTTTTAGATATCGGTTATCAGGGAAATATCAGATGTCCAAATTTCGTATCAGACTGCAGATATCAAGGAAATATCGGGGATATGTAGTAAATATCAAGTGCCCGATTGGATGACGTGCATATAAGATGCAATTTCCTAAAATGTAACCAAAATATACTTAATGAAATTTAAGCATACAAAATTGTAAAAAATATATGTTTAGGAACACTAACCAATTATAGAAACTTACTTAGGGAAAAGAACATACTAGAACTTGCTACAAAACTTCATAGATATATAACTTTTGCTAGAAAAACATTAACGACATTTTACAAAACTATATTGTTTATTGATAAGTTATACAAAAGGACATATCGGCCTACATACCATCTAATATACCGGCCATGTCGGATATTGAAACCATATCGTTTTGCGGAAACCTTGTAAAAGGATACATCGGATATGTCAGGAATATTTAAAAAATGCTTGAGTATCTCAAGCAACATCACTTTTGCCCTCAATGAGATGGTAGGTAGTCTCCCCGGTTAAATTGAGGGCAAAAGGTAATTTATTATGATTACCATGTGACATCTCACTCTAAGTTGGAAAATAATGTTGCCAGGAGTTCAGAGGGTGTAAATGCTAATATAATAGTTTTGTGAAGGTAATAAGTGGTAATACCTCATAATACAAAGGGTGTAAGCGCAATTGAACCTTGTAAACATCACTATTCAAATAGAAGAAATCCTACCTGTCGAGATGCCACAACTAAGAATACAAACTTTGTCAAGGGGAGCCGAAGGGTTGATCTTGGCGACACAACCAACATGGACAACAGTGTACTCGCTGAAAGTGGAAGTTCCGACGAAATGGTAAATAGGCTTTCCGTTGATAGAGAACCTTGATTGCCCATCGCCTATCATGACTCCTCGATCAGTGTTGATCCTGAGGAGGTCACACATGTTGCTCTCCTCGGATTTGCAGTGAGCACAAGCTTTGCACTCTCCCGTGAAAACAGGGAGAACGTGGTCTCCTGGTGCGAGATCAGTCACGCCCTCACCGACACTTTCAACAATCCTAAGGATGACAAAGTAACAAGTTTAGGGCTCATGTAAAAAAGAAATATCATGATATTAGTCTGGATAAATTGCAGATAAATTCCCTCATCTATATCCTAAATAGCACCAATCAACCCTCACCCTTGAGTCACACTAATAAGTTATCACCCCAAGATTGGTTTGAAAAGGGATAAATTGCAGATGAGCCCCCACTCTCTCACTAAGGGTCGATAAGTCCTAATAATGAGTTGAGGGCACAAGTGCTATGAAGGTATAGATGAGTGGGTTGTCTGCAATTTACCCTCTTAGTTTCATCATGTATCAGCAAAAGAGATGAAATCTGGTCTCGTGAGGAATCAGATTTTCTATTTATTTGGTTGAACTAGACTGAAATGCAATAAATTATGTTACCAATGTACATCCTACAAAGCAAAGGGTAGCTAGAAAATAAGACTTTGCAAATAGTAGTGTGTAGAAGGAAACTCTTCTTTTTATTAACCTAAAGAGTTGAATAATCAGAGTATGACAGTGAAAAGGGTGGAAAATTATTAATAGTTTTTTGAAAATAGATTTTCTCCCATCGTAATAAGTCAGCAAGTTAACATACATATCAGCATTCACATGGACATGCAGCAGCATGGCAGAAAAATCAATGTCTAAAGAACCGCTTTTTTTTCCCCTCCCCTGGTGTGTGGAGGGAAGGAAAAATCAATGCCTAAAGTTATAGGTTATGGGTTCTACATTTTCCTGATAAATAGAAAAACACTACCATGAGAATGTATAGTCTAGTTTATAATCTTATCAAAGATTGTAATCTCATTTGCCTTCCCATACTTTTAGCACAAAAAAAATTGATGGATATTGCCAAAGATGAACTGCTTGCTACTTGAATTCAAGCTTTCATAAGATCCCATTCCGCTCAATGATTTTCGTTTCTTTTACTTTTTACCCTTTTGTCTTGCAACAAAAACACAGTTTCACCTCTTTATACCCTTATTCACATTTCTTATACTAAGTTAGACATAATGCAAACTAAAACTCCTACTATGTTGGGTTCCCATTTGCCATTAACATCAGATGTAGGAAATTTTTCTCAAGCAACAATCAAAAAAATTGGAATGAATATTGAATCTTCAAAAGAGCTAGGATGCTTAAGAAGCCTCACCCTCCTGCTTCATGCCCAAATATCCTAGGAAACACTGGATTCTGGCCCTGTAATAATCCGAAACAAGCGTCATTTCAATCACCCACATTATACATACAAACAGAGTAAACAATGGATCATTATCCAAGGATCTCCACTCCATTTTGTGACACTTTGCATAATACTGAAATGTGACTAAGTATAATGAACATATGAAATTTGAAGAATATACCTTAGCTTCCCAGAAATAGACATCAGTGTGGCAGAGTGCAGTATATAAGATTTTGAGGCGGACTTCGTTGGCCTGCGGTGGAGCCACCTCGACCTCCTCGATCACTAGAGGTTTTCCTGCTTCCCATGCGACCGCAGCTATATATTTGCACAACAAACAAAAATAATCAATGAATCAATGTGGTTGTAAAATTTATACGATCCAAAATAAAGTCAATATCCAAAAATTCATCAAGATTTGCAAAGATATGGAGAAAGAACACACAGCTAATATTTGAACCTAAATGGACCAAGAACTAATACAAACAAATTCAGGGGCAGAGCAACACTATGTTGATATAGGGCATTGTTTATTGTAATTAAGTAACTACTTCGCTGATTATTCTTTGCATGTGTATCTTTGATCAATTTTCAGTTTAAATTTGTAACTTTTATTGATTATACGGATTATCTCATAATTCTTAGTGAAAAAAATTTAATCATGTGTTTTTAGTAATATTTTGATTTTATAAATTTTTATTAGCATTCTACTTCTGCCTAATCTGATTGAAAATTCTCGCTCATTGCCAGACTAAATTTCCTTCATTTAACAGAAAATTAAGAATAAAGAAGAAACATAAGCACATAACATCTACTAAATTGTGATATGATGCATGTCAAATTCCGAGCTAAAGAAAAAGGGGGAAAAAAAAAGAAAGAAAAAAACATATACCACATTGACTAAATTAAAAAAACATATACCACATTGACTAAATAATAATTAAATCTCACATTTAAATACAAATTATGCAATCACGATGAGTAAAATAAGAAATTTACCAACGTCCTAAATTCAGATAGCTAAAAATCTGTAAGAAAGCTAAAACCCGATTCTTAAATCTCCCAAGATAGTAAAAAAGGATTCTTCAAGAAACTGAAGAAACATATGACTTTCCCAAAATGTACCCATCAAGAGCACCCAGGTGCACCGCAAAGTGACCCGGGGAGTTTCCAATATACACAATAAACTCATAAATACTTAATTCATTCAAAATAATCACCAATTCAATGTTATATAAATATCTAAAACTTTGCACGCCGAGTTTTCATCTTCTTAAAATAATCAATCACAGAATCATATCAATTTCTTGAACACTTTCTTTCTCGATATACATAACTAAATTATCTGCTAAGAATGCGTCTTCCATCTTGTTGCGGAGCCTTATTTTTACAATTTTCATGTCAGAAAATGCTCGCTCGGTAGTAGCTGTAGACACCGGAAGAGTTAGAACAAGGCGAATTAAGCGGTCAACAAGAAAATATTCACTTTTCTTTTCAGTTTCAGCCAGTGCCACACATAACTCGGAAATAATTGAAAGACTTTTCAATTTTGGATCATTGCAGGCGTCGAGGACAAAATGTTCCAGTTGAAACTTCAAAATGAGCTTATCTTGACCATCAAAATCAGCAGGATAATATTTGTCAACAAGCCGATCCCCCCCCCCCCCAAATATATATAATACATCAAAAAATTTTGAAACGAAGGGGGGCGATCGCCCCCCCAAAGAACAACTAAGCTCCGCCACTGGTTTGGTTCTCCGTCGCTTCATTAGACCCATCAAGGAAAATTAATAATATAGTAAATTTTACAGATTTTACAGAGCAGAACTTGTGTCAACTTAAGTGGATAGTGGATAGCAAAAAGTTATCCACCAAACTTTTTAGTCATTAATGTTGACTAGGGATCTATAAAAGATATGAAGATGTTTTTTTATATATACAAATGAGTAGCTAAAAAGTTTAGTAGATAAGTTGATATAAGCTCAACTCAGTTTTACATATTACGTACCAAGTAACCGTGATTCATAAAATGTGAGCCATCAAGATCCCAGATGGGTGTTACAATAAAATGTGATCTTTGAAGAAACTTCACCCAAATTCCAATCCCAGATGGGTATTAAAATAAAATTCCACAATAAGGCTACAACCCAATTCCTAATTGAAAGATCAATAATTTCCCAAAATGGACCCGTCAAGATCAAAGATCCACTAAAATAAAAATAAAAAATAATAATAAGAAGAATGGCTAAAGATTGCAAACCTCTGCACTTGATCACTTTCCCACGTGTGCTAGCCATTTCCCAAACCTGCAAAAAGAATCCCAAAAGTTCTCTCTCTCTAACTCTTCCTTAAACGCCCCTGTCTTGATCACTCTTGTTGTGATACTTGTCGATTGAATAAAAGTTCGTGATGCAAACTAATTTATAGAGAGAGAAAGTTATAGAGAGAGAAAGTTATCGGAAGACTTCCGAGTTCCAAGTCTTAATACAGCGGCGTTTTGGGAAACCAGAGCAGATTCTGCTGTTCTCTCGCCACAAGTTTCGTTAGCCAGAGACCGTCCTAGAAAACAATGCGAGTCAATGGCAAATAGTAGCACTTAAATATCTCATGGTGGCACTCATTTTCTTAATTCTAGTGTAAAATAGCTTTGGGATATGTTTAACTATAAATTTGACAAATATTGATGATTAGAAAGTTATAATATTAGCACGTGAATATAATATAGTAACTCTCGGATGAAACTTTTTATGTTTATATGATATAAAAATATCAATATGCTAATTATAAACAACTTAGAATCTATAAATATAGTGAAAAAAAATAAGTGCAGCTAGCTATGTAAGTCGAACGTAAGTGAAATTATGAGATATTTAAGTGAAATTATGAGAAATTATGAGAGGAGCTCGAAAGCAGTAGGCGGTGGTTTTTGGAAAACCGCTTGGAGAGCCTCCGGGTTGCCTCTTGAACTTTTGCTGGATTGACTTGTTCTTTTGGTCAAACCCTCGTAGGTGGTATTTGATTTTTCCCACGGTTTCAAGATTAAACATGGACAAATTTTCAAAACCATTCGGTTTTGAAATTTATTCCCAAAAAAAGACAATTTTCAACTTTAATTACAAAAACAGACACAGTTGGATGAAACTGAGTCTGTTTTTTTTAAAAAAATTCAAACTTCACGGGAGTTCAACTCCCGTGAAGTTTTTTCTCATAACAAAACTTCACGGGAGTTCAACTCCCGTGAAGTTTGAATTTTTTTTTAAAACAGACCCAGTTTCATCCAACTAGGTCTGTTTTTGTAATTAAAGTTGAAATGGGTCGTTTTTTATAAATAAATTTTAAAAAGTGATGGTTTTGAAAATTTGTCCGATTAAACATCGGAGCAGTTATGATTAAGATGGTGACTAGGTGTGGGAAAAAAACATATCTATATCTGTGGATATAACCGTATTTAGACAAGTACGAATATAATTACTAAATATCCATATCATTTCATAGATCAATATAGTAAAATATCATAATATAAATTGATCATATAGTTGCGGTTGTTTTAGTTATTAGATTAGCTACTTTGAGGTTAACATATTGAAGAACTCAGCTTGTTTCATGTGAACTATATTTTTTGAATTTTATCTAGTTTTCACATATCTGTTTTGTACTTGCATGCATATGCGTATATATATAGAGAGAGAAAAAATGGGTATGGTTGATACCAAGCACAAGTTTTTGTGCTTGGCAGTGAGGTGGCATATTCCCCTCCACTCATTGAAATCAGGGCTCACATTTACATAGGTTGGGGAGTGGTTGAGAATTGGAATGAGTGGATGAGAATAGAACACATCACTACCAAACATAAAATTTGTGCTTAGTACCAAGCATATCCATTTCTCTCTCTCTCTTTCGCATGTATATTTGTATCTGTATCTAATTTTAGCGGACATTATTATAAGTTTTACTTACCGACATATATCCATATCTGTATATGAGATTGATAAACAAATATGGATATATTAATTATTATATTAATGTCGTATCCGATTTGTTTACACCGCTACTAGTGACTCATAGGCACTGTTTGGCAACAAGAGAATGTGTCTTATCTAAGAGATTGTGTCGTATTGACTTAGTCAATAAGCTAGTAGAGCTGTTTGGTGAGAAAAAATAGGAGGAGATTATTTTGGAGATTGTGTCTTTTGCAAGTAGCTTTTGGAAAACTACCTCAAGTAGCGTTTGTCTTTGGGAATGAGCTGCCAATTTTTTTCTTCCGTTTTTGCTCCTAATAATTCTAATTTTATATCAATAATATTGCATGTCCTTTTAGTCGTTTAACAAATTTAAGCTAGTTGTACAGCTACTTTTGCCAAACAACTCTAGTCAATCGGCTAGCTATACAGCTATCAGCTTTCAGCTACAATTTCACAGCTTTCAGCTAACTTAACAGCTTTCAGCTATAATCTCGCAGCTTTCAGCTAGTTTTACCAAACAGAGCCATAATTTTTCACTATTAGTTTCTCGTACTTTACACTCATATACCCTAGCTTATTTATGGCCATAGCTATTTATCCTGAAATTTTTATAATTTGCACTTTAATATTTTTTTATGGAAGCATGAGCATTTTCTTCAAATTTTACATTTAACACTTACAAGCTAAGTTTAGAACATTTTAATCCTTATATTTTTTGAATTTATTGTTAAATCCACCATAATTCTATATTTAAAATAATTGAGGCCACTTAAATTATAATTAGATACCGTTTAACAATTAATTAAAAATACTAAATGTTCAAAACTTCTAAAATTAGCTTGTGTACATGTGAAAATTTGACGAAAATTCTCATGATTGCTTAACAGAAGGCATGATGAAAAGAATTTTAATATGCCAATCGAGGCAAGTTAGATTCCTATCGTACTGAAAAAAAACAGATATAAAATATGGGAAAAAAAAATTTTGGCTCGCCACGGTTGTAAAATATGTCATACAAAAGCCTAGGCCCTAGATTCAATGCATAGAAGAAAAGAGTAGAGCATGCTTGAGTATTAACATTATTTCTCCGTAGCTCTAAAACTCCAAAACTTATCTTGGCCAATCCTTACAACTTCTTTTTGAGTTTTAACGCAGCGGTAGTGATCTTTAACAATCTTCATACAATAATATTGGATACAATCAAATCAAACAAATCACCTAATTTTGGATACTATTCCAATAACAAGTTTAAAGAAACCAGTCAACAATGACAATCATGGATCCTTGAAAGTTCATCTAACCATCATTTATTCAATTCTCATCTATCTACAAATTAAAGAGTCACTAATGATCCATTTTCCTCTAATTTCTTCATCAAACTGAGTTATACGCTTAATCACCAATTGGTGGATAAGTTGTGTTAGGCAATCTTTGACCATTTATGAATGATTTGAAGAGAGCCAGAGCTCTGGCTGGCTGAGCAAAAGGAACCATGTGAGATGCTCCTCTCACAGTTGCAAATGTCAATATATTTCCATACTCGGTTGCAAATCCACCCACCTACACGCATAATAGCAGACGCCAAGCAAAATCATAATCAGTATGAGCTAGATATGTAGTTCAGTAGAATGTCAAGAGTTGGAAAAAGATTTCTCTTCTTATTTATTGTTGGAAGGAATTGAAGAGAGCAATACTCTATATACACACGTGTATATGATCATATAAGCTATTTGTAGAATGGTTAATTGCTTATGGACCCCCCTAGCATGAATGTTTTGAAATTGCCATCCGTGTAGTTCCATTGTTGCAGATGGACCCCCTGGGTTAAAATTTGTACCTCTTTTTTACTGGGTGAAATTTTGACAGATACTGCCCCCTGGGTGAATATAGTGAGTCTATCTGAGGGTAAAATAGCCACGCAAAAATTAACCATGCAACTCTTTATAGAAAGCCCTAAAAATTTGTAGAGAAGTCATACGATGAAATGCAATGATAATATATGAGCATAGTTGAACAAAATTTTACATGCTTTGAGTTTTAGTAGCATTGGAGTAAGAATTCACAATCTCCTAGTAACAATGGAATTTTTTTAAGGTATTCATTTACTTTGTTGTTTGCTCATGTATGCAAATATTTTTACAATAATTCAGATGCTCTGAAGTTCATTATTTCTAAAGCATGCGTTCGGTTATGAAACTATGGTTAACTCTTCTTACTGCTTCGTTACGCTTGTTATAATAATGTGCACTATAAAGATCAGGAAAATAAAAAATAAAAAAAGACGGTATTCTCATTGTCAACAGAATATTCATCTATTTACACTTCTGTTAAATTTGGCATTATGTACGATAGAATCGTAAAGATTTTATAAACACTTGAAAAAAAAAACTACTATTATGGGGAAACATAAGGATTATACCTGTCCTTTGTTGAACCAAGCACCATAAGGAACGGTAATTGGAAATTTAAGATCATGAGCCAATTCCCTCACTAGCGTTCTAGAGCCCAGCAGAGGAACTACAGAGTCTTGATCGCCACTGTAAAAAAGAAAATTGTCAATTCCACAAGGAGTTTGATTTAAAAATAGAGTATTAGCAAAGGTATTTACCTGTAAACCCAAATCGGTATTCGATGACTAATTATTCTTTTGAGAAGAGGCAGGATATTGATGTTACCGTCTGTATCGCTATAGTTCAGAACGCTGGCGAAAACATTTCAGAGACATCAGTTGTTTCATAGAAAAAGTGCCATGCGTAAAATAAAAACATCAAAATATTAATATGCCTTGGTTTATGTTAGGACTTCGCAGCTTATCTTACGGTTCTGGTAGTTATGAACAATTCGTAACCCGATATAAAGAAAAGGTTATTAGAAGCACAAATTGACAAGTCTTTAGTTTTCTTAGATAATAATGTTAGGGGACTGAATTAATAACATAAAATTTGATACATCTGACTCATAAGTATTTTAGAGGTTATCTTATTGTAGTCTACTACAATGATCATAATGATTATGCGTAAATCTTAATAAGTATGGAAAACAGAGATATTAAATGGAAAAATAACAATTTTTTTCAGTTTTCTTAGCCAATACTTTTCAGGAATTGGAATAATAATAACATAAGGTTTGACTTACCTGTCTATTTTATGTTAATCTATCAAACAGATCATAATAATTCTGAATCATGAACAGATATTTAAAAAAAAAAAAAGTTAATAAGATGCACAAACTCGGCAAAATTTTTAGTTTCGCTTAGATGTTATGTAGCGACTGGCTTAATGACATAAGATTTAATGTGCCTATTTGATTCACATAACTATGAAGTAAGTATGACAATTATCTTATGATAGTCTATAAAACTGGTCATTGTAACTCTGAATGAATCTTGATCAAATATACAAAAGAAGTTGTTGGATGCAAAAAAAAAAAAAATTGTAAGATTTTCAGTTTTCTCAGCTATTGCTAATCAGAATTAGGAATACTCACCGACTGCACATTGACCAACTATAAGGCAATTTTGTTCTGTTGGCATGAAGAGCATGCTGCACTCTTGGGAGACTGAAGTAGAGTCTCCTCTCATAACTCATACAAACATCAACCCCGACACTAATATGAGTAGCCTGAAATCATGAAAACCAGTATAATCACTGACCCAGAAATTTGAATCAATTGAATAAAGAAAATTAGAAGCAGGGAAAAACATACAACTTTTCGTAATCTCAGTTCCTGCTCAACTAATGATGGATAGCACACATCAAGAATCACATCGTAATTATCAATGTAATCTCCAACTGCGTTATTTGCTTTAGAAATTGCGTCATTGCAGGATTTGGTGACATTATGGGGGTCCTCAAAGGTGTAATCTTCAAAATCACAGTTGTTCATAATTGTGAGCCCAACCTCATCAGAAATCAAACCATGTGACCAAAAGTACTCATAAGTTGCAGGAACATCTCTATCGAGCTTTAAAAGAGGATTCCCAATCTATTCGAAGGATATAATGATAAGTGTTATGATATTATCATCAAAGCTCAGAAAAGAATCTGAAGCAGGGGACTAATACTTACAGCAACTCCTTTGATATGAAATCTGAAATCAGTTGAATGTTTATTATGATCCAGAAGAGCATTGGCCAACTGTGGTATATAATGTCCTATAAAGAAAATTACCAAATTAACAAACTTTACCATAGAAGATGTAAACATAATGAAAAATGAGTAATTTAGACCTGCATAGCTTTCTCCGGTCAAGAACAAGCCCCTGGATTTGAACTCGGGGAATTTATCATACCATCGCATTAAGAATATGTGCATATCATTCGCTTCAAAAATTGAAACATGGTCAGACTAGTATCACAAAACTGAAGCAAGATCATATATAAGATAAATTTATGTTCATTAAGTCAAATTACCAGTTTTCTCGTCTCCAGTTGTGTAATCAGAAGTTGTATTTGAATAAGACCACCCAACTCCAGCAGGGGATTCAACAAAAAGGAGATTTGATACTATGAATGTAAACAGAAAAAAGGTTTGTGGTCAATGAAGGCTTGAAGTATTAATGAGTTAGAGAACATATAATCAAAATTTTAATGAACTCTAAGGAAACCTTTATTCCATGACTTTTTGTTAATTCGAAGGCCACGACCATCGCCTCGAGGGAAAAATGGACCCAATTCAGTGAAGGCTCCCCCTCCAACTGAAGAGCAGCCAGGACCTGATCATAAGATTAATTAGAGCCTTTAAAAATGAGAAATACACTGATAAATTCTGACGTTGATCAAAGACACTGAGAATGATATTTATTCTGCTAAAATATTTTAAAGAATGATTCTCTTTACCATGCATTTTTTTTCCTTTGAAACTGAAACAAAGCAAAACAAAACTTTTGTTATCAGAATATAATACAAGGAGATAGCAAACTAACTTCAATTTATGATTTTGGACATTACTCTGTCATTAGCGAATTTCTTTGAACAACATGTTTGTTGTAAACAAAACCCACAAATTACATTGACGGTTGAGAAGAACTTTATAGTTTACAAAAATATCAGCAATTAACCATTACAATCTTGCTAGTTCTAAACTTTTGACCAGTGAATCGTGGGTAAAGCCAATGTAGCTATTGAAAATATTCAGAACTCTTTTCCTTTTTTGCTTATATTATAGACTCTAGTTATATCAGAAAGTCCTCCTATTATTTGTAGAGACAACACGAAGAAGAAAAGAAAAGTTTCTAAGATTTTGAAAGTGACTCTCTTTACCCCCGTCATCTTCAAACGTTTAGTTAAATAATGATCTCTTTCATAAAAAGTCAACTTTTGATATAATAATGAAATGCTAATTTACATATATAAGCAAAAAAAGCTAAGTGCAATTTCTTATTGATTGGACTTTTTACAGTGTAAATATTTTCTGTAATTCAGCCTTATTCTAATAACAGAGACGAGAATAAGAATCTTACTGAAGATTCCAATCCCAAAAACAGTACAAACCCAGAATACATTTTTTTTTAAACGAAAGGGGAAAAAACAAACACTTTCACCTGATTTGGTAAAAACAAGTACAAATGAAACAGATCTGAACCAACACTACAAGTACTCAAAAAAACTAACAAAAATCATCATAAAATAAAATTACAAAATCAGCATATACCTCCATTGAGCCAGAGAGTTAAAGGTTTTTTATCAGCATCAACTTCAGCTTCAACAAAATAGTAAAAAAGGCTTCTCCCTGCTCTCTCATCAACATCAACATAACCTGCATATTGCTTAAATCCAACTTTTGGTTGTCCAGGCAAATTTACAACCAAATCCTCTTCTGGGTATCCTTCAATCTTTACTCCCACCATTAAAATCAAAGCTACCACCGTTAATACACATTTTTTCAACAAACCCATCTCGTGATTCCTCTCAAAAAACAACACCCAATTGCTTTTTTTCTAAATATTCTTCTATTTGTGAGAATAATTACTGAGATAGAGATAGGAGAGAAGCTATATATGCGTGTACTTCTAAATGCAGTTAAGATATGGCACGTGAAGCCCGGGGTTGATGATACAATAAATGTTGGCAGCTAGCATTTCCAAAACTTGTCTATGATAGTTATAATTTCTCAAAAACAAATATTTTTAAATAAATCTTGGCAGCTAGCATTTTCAAAACTTATCTGTGATAGTTACAATTTCTCAAAAACAAATATTTTGAAATAAATATCTCTGGATAGGTACAGAACAATAAATGGGGATGCCCTTTTTAGATAGGATTCTGCCTAGCAAATTAGTTAGAATCGTACTTGGTCCCTAATTTCAGTTAGAATCATGTAACTTTAACAAAGTTCATTTTATGAATAAGAGGTTGTTTTTTTATGCTTTGTTTGGGAGTTTACTAACAGTGTGTTTGGGAGATGACTAAAGAAAGGGAAGGAAGGAAAAAATTTTCCCTTCCCTTCCTCTTCTTTACCCCCAATTTGAGGGGTAAGATTTTAGTTCAAATTTCCCTCTCATTCCCCTACTCTACCTTTCGAAATAGAACTTCCAAATAAAAGTAAACCAAATTTTCTTTTTACCTTCCCTTCTCTATCCTCCATCCAAACAGGCCATAAGGGAAGGGACGGAAAGTTAAATAATGGAAAGGAAAGATAGAGAATTGAAGTGAAAAGATAAAGTGTTGTCTGGGAGTTTAGTAAGGGGAACAAAAGTAAATTTATTTTACCTTATTTGGGAGTTCTAATAAAGAAGAGAGAAGTGAAGTGAATATATATAAAGTTACGTAAATACTCTTACATATTGGATAGAGTATATCTTAACCATTGATTTTAATGTCATAAAAGTATAATTATCTTATCACATTATAAAATTTTACATTGGTTTCAATTCCATCCTCTACCCCCTAAATTGGAGGGGGAGGAAAATGAAAGAAAATTTAACATTTCATTCCATCCTCAAACCCTTAAAAAAAACTCCCAAATAAGATGAAATTGAAATTTCACTTGAACTTTCATCCATTAATCTCCATCCAAACAAGGTGTTAAGGATAAATTTCTTGATGGACTACTTAATCCGCAAAAACAGGATTTTTATATTTTGGTTTTTGAAAGACAATTGAGATATTTTATCTCTCATGCTCTTTATTCTAGCAGCTTATGTCATAAATAAAATGCTTGTTAGAAGTGTTGATTCTAGTTCTCTTTCTGAACTTTCTTGCTAAAATTCTCAACTTCTCCTTTGACAAACCTCCTTTTAAATACCTCGGCCTACCTCTCAAGAAAGGATCTCTCTCAAAAAGTGAATGACAGCCTATACTTGACTCTTTTAAGAGGAAATTATCTGTGTGGAAGAGTAAACAGTTGTCTATAGATGGAAGACGGATCCTAATTAACTTTGTTCTCTCTTCTTTACCTTAATACTATATATCTTTTTTTCAAAATCCTCAGATGGCTCATCAAAGCAATAGAAAAAAGTTCTTTTTTTTTGTTTGGGGGAGGGCACAACAAGAAACCAAAACCAAGACTATTGTCAAATAGGATATTGTTTGTAAATAGCATATTTACATCCTATTTACAAACAAGAAGCCAAAGCCAAAGGCAATGATATTGTCAACTAGGATAGAAGGGGGTCTTTGTATTCCTAACCTCTTTACTTTTAACATATCCCTTCTTTCTAAATGGCTATGGAAATTCCTAGCTCAAAATTCTATTGTGAGAAGGGTTCTTCTTTCTTTGTACTCTAATCATCAATCTTGTCCAAGCACAACACCACATAGTCTCTTAGCCTTTGGGGTTTGGAAAGATTTATTCTCTATTAACCAAGCTCTTTTTAGTATGGTCTGAAATTACCCTAGAGGGGGGTGAATAGGGTATTCGCTAATCTAATCCGATATTGATGCTAAATTAAAATTTATTAAAGAAATATCCTAACAGGTATGTTATGCAACAAATTATATGCAATGATTAGCAAATATAAACAATGTGACAATAGGCGATATAAACAATGAGACAAGAAAAAGTACGCTAATGCCAAACAAAAACAATCAATATGATCACGGAGTTCGGTCACCCTTGACTAGGTCTCCGCTCCTCACCATTGAGGAGAATCTCCACTAATCTCAAAAACAACTACACAATCGGTTTTCTAGCTCACTGATAACTTTTATAACTCTCACAATGCAATCACACAACACACCCTCTAAGTGTTGGCCTAGCTTGTCGTCTTCCTCAAGTGCTCGGATTTATAACATCTCCCTAGGCTTTACAACCAACGTCACTACTCTTGGAATTGACCATATCTCTCCTAACCACTCCTTAGTGTCCTTGTGTATTACAATGTGATCTCTCGACAAATAAGCTCAAACACAAATTGTTTGTTCTCTAACAAGATGAGAACTAAGTTTAGGCTCACTCTCAAAGATACAATCCACAACCCAAATTACTGTGTGTGAAAATTCTTAAGCTCAATGGGTGTGTGTGTGTAAACAATGAGTATAATAAAATCAAAATTAAACTCAAATCAATCTAGAATAAATATGAGAATTAAAACAATAGATAGCTAGAAGATGAGTTTTGAAAAACTTCTCTAAAATAAGAGAGATGGAGATATGAAGCTTGAAGCTCAAACCGAGATGATCTCCTCTTCTTGTGAAACTCTCTTCACAAAACTAAAACACACTTTTGATCTTTGAAAACTTGAAACAAACTTGCAAAAACTTGTTTTAAAACTTTTCTTTGTTCATAGTGAGTGTTGAAGGCTGAATGGTATTTATAGTTGCTTAAAACAATAGCCCAAAACCCAAGAAAAATACAAAAAACTAAAATTTGAAAAAACTAGCCGTTATTACAATGGATTACTGTTCGGTCAACCGATGAATAATGTTCGGTCGATCACACTGTTCACCGACACTGTTCATAGAATCTGAAACCTGAAAATCTGTGTAGCTGATTTTATAAAATCAATTAAAAATAGCAAATCAATTAAAAATAGCAAATCAATTCCAAAAATCCAAAAATTTTGAGGGAAATTTCTAAACATATAGATAAACATGTTAGAAAAAGAATTTCTGAAATATCACTTCCCATTTGTGATAAATCACTATTTTAAAATAGATATTCTAGATTTTGAAAACTGATGAAACACTTGAGTTTGTAAAATCAATTTAATATAGTAAATCAACTCCAAAAATGATAAAATTTTGAAAAATGTTTATAAATATATAATAGAATATGTTAGAAAAAAAATTTATCAATTTTCATTTCCTATTTGTGAAAATTTATTTATTTTGCAAACTGTTAAACAATACGAAATCGTCAAAACTTGATTTTAATGAAATCAATACAAATAAGTTTTGAAACACTTTTTAATAGAATAATAGACTTGAGAAAAGATATAAAATATTGTAAACAAGTTTTTAATCCATAAACACATTATTTTCCAAATAAATATGAAACTAGCATGTATGTCGTACATGTAACTATTTATTTCATATTTATTTGATTTAACTTGAAAGCGATAAACCGAAAATGTGTATGTGTGTAATATTTGAGCTTTCATATTTATTTGATTTAACTTGAAAGCGATAAACCGAAAATGTGTATGTGTGTAATATTTGAGCTTTAAGCATAAACACACAAAGTATCTTGAAAGCGATAAACCGAAAATGTGTATGTGTGTAATATTTGAGCTTTAAGCATAAACACACAAAGTATTAAATCTAAACTAGAAACAATATACCTAAGCTAAGAGATCTTCGATATGCTCGTCTTGGTTGCGGATGAAGCTTGAACTTGTACTTGACTTGAAATACAAAGCTTCATTCCAATATTCCTTCTATTCTCCAATGGATATGATCGTGTAGGCGCAAGTCCATCCAACCTCCAACAAAGAATCTTTGTGTAGAATACCTAACAATTAAATACAAACACTCGACAAACATTGTTAGGAATTATTTGTAAATCATCAAAACAAGATTAGAGAGTAGGCTCATAAACATAAGACCTAACATGATCAAATAAAATTTGGGTGATGACGCCTCTAGAAGATCCAGGGAGGATAAATGGGTGAGTAACAACTCACTTATGAGTTTGTTTCCTCAAGCTTACAATCTTGCTTTCTATCATAACGGCTCGGTGAGATCTCCAAGGCTATATAGAAATGATACATGGACATGTCAGCCAACTATCAGGAGACCTATTTCAATCACTACAAGGAAAGCAATTGATGACATGAAAGCTTTGATTAAGGACCACAATATCAACTCTCATAAAGACCAAGAGTGGTGGCCTTTAAGCTCTATGGGTAACTACACAATCAAGTCTATATACAAGCTTCTCAATGGTGGAGTAGTTGTATCACATTTCCATTCTTTCATCTAGCAATCCATCATTCCTTTAAAGGTAAAAATCTACTATTGGATTTAATCTAAAAGGAGGCGCAACACTAAAGATTTTCCTATCAAAAAGGGGCGGAATGGTGATATCCACTACCCTTTTTGCCTTAATCATCCAGAGACCAACGAGCATCTATTCCTTTCGTGCTTATATTCATCTAACATTTGGTCTATCTTTAAGAAATTTCTGCATATTGATCAGTGGCCTACATCTCTCTCTGACCTCCTATAGTCCAATGGGAACTTTCTGATGAGCTAAAAATATGTTTAGTTGTGGTCTGTATTCTTTCCAACCTTCTGTTGGTGCTTATAGATGGCTCGGAAATAGAATCTTCAATGACAAAGTAACTCAGATGCTACCATCTAATTAACTTTGCCTATTTCATTATGTTGTGGATAGGCAATTCAAATAAAGAATAAAGCAAGGAAAATTTTGGACACATTGAGGGAGGAGGGGCTCGACAGTCTCAGAGCACCAGAAGATGAAGATGTTATGGAAGATAACTCCCAAGAAGCGTCAATTTGTCCGTTCTTTTGCTAGTTTTCACTAACAATCCTCTACTTCAGATTGTTGTTGACATTGGATTTCTTTGTCATGTAATTAT